ACATTGACTTTGTTATCCTTGAGCCACTTTGTAACCAGTTTGGCAGTATGCTTCGGGTCATTGTCCAGTTGGAAGACCCATGTGCGCCAAAGCTTTAACTTCCTGGCTGATGTCTTGAGATGTTGCATCAGTATTTCAATATAACGTTCTTTCCTCATGATGCCATCTATACTGTGAAGTGCATCAGTCCCTCCTGCAGCAAAACAACCCCACGACATAATGCTGCCACCTCCGTGCTTCAGTCCGGATGGCGTTCTCAGGCTTTTTCCTCCAAACATAACTGTTGCAGTGTGAGCTGTTGCGGGCCCCCAGAGCTGATGCAGCAAGCTGTTGCTAGCTGTTGTTAGCTGTGGGCCTCAGGCCTCATTTTGGACCCCAGGCCCACCTCCAGCTCACATGGCTCCTGGCTCGGACCCCACCAGGGGTAGTAACTCACACTATCTCAATAAATCAAGGAAACATGATTTCAGTTTTACCAACTGTAAATCAAGGCAGGAGAAGATTACAGTTTTACATTGCTGACCTCTCCGATACAAAATGACGCGAGATCTTGGACCGGAAGGGGCGAATGACACGTTGCTTTCTAACTATATGGGCCTAGGCTCCGCCTTCTTCCGGGAGTGCAGCCTATCAAGTGATTAGAGGGGCGGACTAAGTGTGATCTCATTGGATCGTATGTGGTCTGACATGTCAGGAAGAAATGACATGGTGGTGCAGCGAGCCAATAAAGAAATAATAAATAAATAAATAAATAAAAACTATTCCTTGATGGATATTGAATCCCTGGGAGACTTTTTCTTTTTAGAGTTGCTGGCCCTGTTTAGACCAGTCAGAACTGGGTCATAATCTCATTACAATCCGTCTCTGAGCAGATCAAAAACCCAGGGTCAGTCTAGATAAAATACTAACAACTCCCCCTGGTTCGAGGGACCCAGAGGATTTTCTCGAAAAACTCCCAGTTCAAGACCACTGGAATTGAAAGCAATTTATCATTATGGCCAAACAGTTCAATTTTAGTTTTGTCAGACCACAGGACATGTCTCCAAAAATTAAGGTCTTTGTTCCTGTGTGCATTTGCAAACATTAATCTGGCTTTTTTTTTATATATAGCTTCTTCCTGGCAAAGTGCCCTTTCAGCCTATGTCGATACAGTACTCGTTTCATTGTAGATAATGACACACTCTTACCAGCTTCAGGTCTTTTACTTTTGTTCTTGGGTTGATATGCATATTTTGGACCAAAGCGCGTTCAACTCTGGGAAACAGAACCCATCTCCTTTCTGAGCAGTATGATGGCTGGACATTCCCATCTTGTTTGTACTTGCATATAATTGTTTGTACAGATGAACGAGGCACCTTCAGGCATCTGGAAATTGCACCCAAGGATGAACCAGACTTGTGCAAGTCCACAATTCTCTTCCTGATATGTTGGCTGATTTCTTTCGACTTTATGTTACACAAGGAAGCAGAGTGTTTCAGGTGTTCCTTAAACTGCATACACAGGTGTGTCTCTAATTAACTCAGATAGTATCAATAAACCTATCATAAGCTTCCAAAGACATGGCATCAAATATTCCAAATTGGTTAAAAGCATAGTAATCTTAGTATATTTAAACTTTTGACTTTGAAGACACTAATAAAAATTGCCTTGAAAATTACTCATTCTCATTATTCTGGCATTTTACAAAGAGGAAAAAAAAATTGGTAATCCTATTTTACCTAAAATGGGACAAGTTTATTCTGATTTCACATCACACAGTGTGAAAAAAAATGCATATGTGTCTTTAAATAATGTATGTAAACTTCTGGTTAGAACTGTATCTGTCGAAACAAATTAATCACTGCACAACTTTTCTAGATGTTTTTTGTGCGACCTTTTGAGAGTGTAACTATACTAAACCTTAAAAAGGAGCAGAAGTGCTATTTTACAGAGCAAAAGGTCATAATGTGTGAGGTTCTTGTTGAAACTGTCACAGAGTGAAGTCCGTGCAAGTGATGAGGTGATGTCTGCCACCAAGAGAAAGCCTGAGGAAAACTCTTTCTCTGTTATTATTACTACAGTGCACTGCAGTGACATTTTTCTCACCAACTAACAAGAAAATATCACACACCCACATGATTTGGCAAAAGTAATGCCACTAAACATTTTTTACTGAAAACCTTTATCTAGAGTTCCATAAATAAACATGCACAGGCTTAAAATATATCACACAAAGATCCTGACAGGAAAGCTTTCAAACAATAAAACTATAAAATATATAAAAGCTGTCACATAACCATTACTAATCAAAGCTTAATATATGTAACCACAACGTGCAGCTACAGGCAACGTCTATCTTTCATCCATCTTTTAGAGTCTAACAAAAAATCCAAGAGGACACTTAGATGAATATTCTTTGACTCTGCTAAGAAAGCATCAATCCAACTAATAACTACAAAGTCTAAAATTATACATCTTTACTGAGTTTAAAAGCTGCAAATACATTTTTGATCTCCTATGATTAGTGAGAACATGTGTTTTTAGGTGACACAGAAAAGGATGAATCAACAACAACAACAACAACAAAAAAGATGTTCCTATTAATCCATTGTAATCCAGTCCTGGTCTGAATGCGATAAAATAGTTATGAATATGGAGTTGCATTACTAAGTTGTCATCAGAAACTTTTAAATAGCTGATAAATAAAAACATACTTGATCAAAACTGTCCATATGCGCACATGCATCCAGTCCGGTTTAAATGATCCAAACCTTTTCCAGCCAAATGTTCGGATTTATTTGTTATTTTTTGTAAATTTTTAGGCAAATGTTTCTTGTCTTTGTATAAACAATTAACTAAAATTGCAGAAAATTAATGAACGGTGGTCAAGCTGTTATTAACTGCATGTCCTAAAACACGTGAATAAAAAAAACTGATCATGTTTAAACATGAACAGCGAAACAACAACGTATTTATTAGTGAGGTGAGAAAAAAACTCTTTTTTTCTCCACAACTTTATGGTCTTCAATATAATATTTTGCTCATTAATGATGATCACCCGAACAGTATAACATGTTTCTAAACTTAGCTAAGGTTAGAAAATACTAAGCCTTTAATTTTCAACCCAAGGAACTCTCAATGGCAGCAACTTGCTGTATGTGAATAAAAAACCTAAAGGCTTAGCATTCCTTGAAGGAATGCATTTGGCCCACCTCCTTTTATGCCAGAAGGTCAGCGCACAAAGTATTAAAGTGATGAGGACAACTCTCGGCTGTTACGTCCAACTTTAGCTTCATATCTGTACATTGGTCATTTTTGTGGTGACATGTCAACTAGATGTTGTGACCATTTTGAATTGAGTTGAAGGACTCCAAAAGTTGGTTGGTTGCACATGTAGATTACTTGGGGTAGCTGTGGCTGAGTGGTTAGAGCTGTCGTCCTCCAATGGGAGAGTTGAGAGTTCGATTCCACCAGCAGTCACATGCTCAAGTGTCCATGGACAAGACACTGAACCCCTCACTGCCTCCGATGTGTGTCCCATCAGTGTTTGAATGTGATAAAGCTCTGATTAGTCTCTTTAGAATGATTTGTTCAATTAGCTTTGTAGAGATCATGTAGAGTTCTGTATGAGTGTGTGTGTGGAGGTAAATGAGGGCACAGGTTTTCTTGTAAAGCGTTTTGAGTATCTTGATTAGACAGAAAGGCGCTATACAAGTACAGTCCATTTACCATTTACTTTCTGAGCTTCATTTAATCCATCCACGGGCTGATAAGATCATTTGCTCACAAAACAGCGTTGACTCTAGTTAACGGCAAAGATTTGAATTCAGGTTTTGTGCAATCAGTTTAACGAGTTCAAGTTGGGAAGAGTCTCATCTACCAACACGATGCAGTTTAGCACAATGGACTGAGCTATAGCCATTTTTTGTGTTTTCGAATTTCAGCAAGCTGTGGTGGCCATCTCGAAGTGGATCGACTCCAAACGCTAATCTGGTGTAATTGTGCATCCAATGATTACTTCCTGAAAGTTTCATTAAATTCCATCCAGATGTTCAAGAGATATTTTGCAAGCAGACAGACGAAAAAACTCAAACATTAATGCCCTTTTAGCTTGAGAGGTGGGCAGTAACAAAGCAACGTGATCAAAACTCTAATTTTTATCTTTAAGAAAACAAAATAGGGACACACGGTTTTTGAACGCTTATTTAGACCATTTCATACTTTTCAAGAGACTGTGTAGAAAACCCAACGTCGTGGTAAAATATTTGACGATATGAAGCGCTGAGTATGGGTGCACCGGTCTGGGCTTCAGTCCTGATGACACCAACAGGAGGATGAAGACAAACGACATGTCAGAAACTATGGACCGAGACGTTGTCATTTCACTGATACACCTGACAGCCCATCTTCCGCACAAACACGCCCAGACATACAACTGCAGCTCAGCTGTTTGGGTGTTGGGTTGGGGGGGGGGGGGGGGGGGTACTGTCCTCATTCCCTGTCAGTAATAACCATAAAGAAATAACCAACAGGATTGACTCAAAGTTAATCATTGGATCACAACAGAAAATTGCTACACTGCTGTTGGGGTGGCAGTAATCATAGAAAATGGCTTCAAGCGTTAATGACTGTTAGGAGTTTTAGCACAGAGCTGAAGGCAGTCAGCCACTGAAGCTGAGGCCATTTACAGACGAAATTGATGAGTGATTTAGTAGAGAAGTGTGCTGTTTCAATGATATAGCAGCAATTCATCAAAACAGAGGTTCATTGCATTATATATTTTCCCCCCTCTCCCTTTCCTCCATTGGTCTGCGCCCCCTCACCCCAGTTTCTCTCTGTAAATACCACTCTTCAATTATTGACACTGAACTCTGAAGGGCATAAAGACCAGACATGGCCTTCCCACCTCCGGTGCTATTCACTAAAAAGAAAAGCACGCACGCACACAGAAAGGCCAGGTCGCCCTCCCGCAGCGCAACACGCACAGCCCGACCACGGCAGAGCACGGCGGACGTTTTTACCTCGTATTCCTCGGACTCGATAAGCAGCTTGGCGGCGGTGATGCGAGACTCGTACGGAGGGACCTCGTTCTGGAAGGGAATAAATAAATTAAAAAGGACAACGCGATCAACCTCTGCAGCGAGCGTTTACACAAGCGACCACAAACATTGTGCTCCCTTCGTCTGATAATAACTCGATCCAATTTCAGGGTGCAAAATGCTCGGCGGCTATTTGGCAGTTAATCTCAGTCAAAGTGTCAGCGGGCTGTGTTCAGATCAACCTGCTGGTGAAGATAAGAGCCGCAACAGTGGAGTCGCTGGGATTCTTCCACCAAATCATCCCACTAACCCCGCGTCCCATTTGTTCCAATTTCTGGGCGTCAACGTCGGCGTAATTTATTTGGAGATATTAAAAATTGTTTGCGCCCTAGCTTTAACACTGCTGTCGTTTTTTTTTTTTTTTTTTTTGTTCATATCTGCCTTCTTCTAACACTCAACAGCACAGACGTTCGAGGAGGACTTCTATCTTTTATCATTCCAGTTTATTACACTTCTCTTCATTATCGCTTACGTTTTATCTCTACTGGTGTCCTCAAGCGAGTGTGTGTGTGTGTGTGTGTGCTGCAGAGCACTCTGTGACTATGCTGGTAGTTCAAAGAGCTTTATAAATAAACTTCTTACTGGTCCTGAGTGCAGAGAGAGAGAGAGAGAGACACCAGAACACAAACTCACCTGCGCGTCTTCTTCTGTGCTGGAGGATGCTGCACTTTGTTTCTGTGCAGGCAGCCACGTTCCAACGCTTTTCAACAGGTATTCTTTACCTTCCTGAAAACAAATACAAATAAATGTAAACTAGAGGTGAGACAGTATGCTAAGTCATAATTTGGTAAAAGGTATTAAATGCTACTTTTATGTTGGGTGGGAAGGCGACCGATGAACAAACCATCATTAGGCATGTTTCTGCCATCGCAGTTTATTTTGAAAGGATTATAAAGTGGAAACTATGGTCACAGATGAGTTCAGCTTTACTGTCAAATACATGCATCCCCCACCCCCCTTCCACGTTGATAAATTGGATCAGTAAATATTAAAGAATTTTAAAATCCCATGCACAGTTAGGAGCAGAGCACATCCGTGCGCACGAGGCCTGCTGAGCTTTGTAGCTGCAGGACTTGGGGTGAGTAAACTTGATTTCACCGCAAGTCCCAACAGCGTGGATATGTGTTTTGGCAAATCATGAAGCAGGCAACAGTACTAACACATAAAGCTGAACTACTAAAATTAAATGGTAAATGAACTGTACTTATATAGAAACTTTCTATCTTATCACGATACTCAAAAAGCGCTTTACAATATAATCTGTGTCCTCATTTGCCCATTCATACAGCACTCTACTAGATCTATACTAGAGTTGCATTCGGGCCAAAAAAGTCCGACCCGGCCCAGCCCCGACCAATTAACTGTGATTACAGCCCCCCCCCCCCCCACCCCCACCCCAAAAAAACCCCGACTTTTTAAAATTTATTTATTAAGCTTTTACTGCTTTGGTAAGTAAATCAGTTTGACATGATGGTTTTAAAAATGTATTTCAAAGAAAGGAAGCGATAAGATTTCTTGTTTATTAACAAGAGCCAGCGTATTATTATAGTCATTATGGTTATTAACAGTTGGCGGACGTGCGCGGCTCGTGATCCAAATTGGGTCGTGGGCTGCGCGCGCCCGCTGACGCCGTGGCTGAGTCCAGGTAAGCTTCAGGTGGGTCGCTGGCAGTGATCCATCTGGACTTTGTTTTACCTCTTTCAACCAGCTGGTCAGCGCACGGTCGTTGGTGATCCAACACCCGACACCGGCCCGCCCATCCAGCACATTATTTTGGCCCAGCCCGAACATCGGGTCGGGCTGGGCAGCGGGCCCCGGTTAGAAATGACAGCTCTAATGTATACAGAGAATAATCAGTGCTTTATCACATTCATACACTGAAGGGAAACACACACACACACACATCGGAGGCAATGAAGGGTTCAGTGTCTTGCCCAAGGACACTTCAGCAGGTGACTGCTGGTGGAACTGAACCCCAAACTCTCGCATTGGAGGACGACTGCTCTAACCACTCAGCCACAGCCGCCCAAATTAGTGCTCGTTGTGATGCCTTTCCTGCTTTTATTCAGTTTGTTGTTATGACGACCCATGGTGGGAAATATCACGTAGCCCTGTGTGAGTGAAGGACTGAAGAAGCAAACATTATGAGAAGCATTAGATGGGCTTATATTTTATACACGTACACCCATTCCAAATTTCTTGTGAAGATGTTCTATGGTAGCAGGTCTGTGTGCAGCACTGAAGGATTTGTCAAGTGGGACCATATAACAAAATAAAATTAATAATAAACCTGAAATTTACTATACAACGCATACAACAAGAACACAGACAAAAAATACAGCTAAGGTAGTTGTTATGACACACCAGAGCAATCAACTTATTCTAACTGCTGAACAAAAATTTAAAATAGCCACCAAATCTCAGCTTTTTGTGCTCCTGAAAGCTTCTTTTTGCTCATTTGAATCGATTCTGCATTTTTAGCCTTTTTTTAAGCTCCTTTCAGCTTCTATTTGCTAATCTGGAACATTTCTGCTCTTTTCAGCTTCTTTCTGCTGGCATCTGCTTTTTTCCTGCATTTTTAGCTATTTTTCTGCTGAAGTTGGCGTTTTCATCTTAAAACGTTTTCCATGCACCTCATCATACGCCTTCTGCTTTGCCTTTCTCCCTCTTTGCTCTACATTACATCGTCTCCTCGAAGAAGAAGTTTGCGTTTTCAGCTCCTTTCAGACTTTTTCTGCTAATTTCTGATTTTTCTTCAACTCCATTTAAGTTCCTTGCTTTTATTTTTCAGCTATTGAAAATATTTCAAGTAAGATTTACTTTAAACACTACTATTGTCTGTTGCTGGGATAAACCAAGACCTGAGTAACACAACTTTGTCCCACCTCATGCACCTGTGTGATGTCAATGACAATCCAGTGTTTACAATCCTTCAGCTTCTTCAGCAGATTTCAACAAAATCAATCAGCAATAAGAATCCATACTGCATTTTTGCCTGATATGCATATTTCTCTAGTTTTTTTTCCTTCTTCTTTTTGTTCCTAATTTTTCAAACCTGAACATTTCTAAAAGTAAATACTTTCCAATATTTTCAAGCAGGAACCATGATCATTTTAACTCTACAGGATGACCCCTGGATTTCCCAGAGAAGTAAGAGACCTCTAGATTAATTGAAGATTAAATTATTCATTCATGTTAATGTGTTTAAAACATGCTGTTTAGATGTGAGGAAACATTGAAAAGTAATTGGTACCAGCATGCCCCCTACAGCTTACACCTGGTATTGCAGATCCACATAAACTAGATGATGTGAACAAACAGAACAATTTTTGCTGATAGTTCAAAGTTTACTGGACGAAGCTTTGAACTATTTACTGCTGACAATTTGCCAAGACAGTGAAGAAGAACTGAATATCATTTGAGATCAAATGAATAGTTTATCACACACTTTAATACTAAACCTAATTTAAAGTTAGTAGCAGTTCCATTTAATATATTGTTAATTCTGTCTAAACACAGCTTTGCTCAGGCTGTTTTCTTCAATCAACCAACTACATACAACTAAATAAAAATGATAAAAACCATTACTGTAAATATTGTTGAGATCTTGTTTTTAAACTCACAATCAAATGTCCCTAAAGGGTCTTTTTTTCCTAGGAATTGAATCCAACATGCAGCTCTCTCATCTCTTTCAATTTATTAGATGTTTACATGACCTCAGTGACCAGCTGAGCAATTAACATTCCTATTGGCATGACCCATCTGTGCATGCATGTGTGTGTGTGTGTGTTAATGCAAGTGTCCATCGGCTGATTAATGCCACACAATTCAATCTGCTCAGAATAATTAACTCAGCAGATTCCAGCTTTAATGTGGTGATAACTCATCTGGAGTGAGAGTGTGTGTGTGTGTGTGCGTACTGACCTGGATTTTCTCTGTACTAAACAGGTAACTGGCCATAAGCTGGAGAGCCTCCGGGTTGTCATGGTGATAGTGTAATGCTCTTTCAATGAACTCTCTGCACTTATCTGCAGCTCCCTCCTCCATGCTACAAACACACACGCACACACAGAAAGAAAAAACTCAACCTTAGCTCATTAGAAATGACAGAGTATGAGATGGGGTTGTGTCACCAGTTCAATCAGCTCTGGTACCAGAGGTCTGTTAGATAAATCTCAGCGATGGAGCAGTACGCCACACTGACATCCTTTGCTGTAGGGAGCTCGTGGTCCTCATCCTTCTTCGCGGCTGCTCCGGCCTGAGCACGCAAAAAGAAAGACAAAAGCAGATTATTTTTATGCCTGATAATATAACAGTAATATAAATAAAAGCATGATGAACATGTCTTTATTTGGTAACAACTGTCGACGAGTCATAAATTTAGAAAAATATCACCTGAAATGAAAATAGGAAATCTAGTGAATATCATATAGTTGTAAATGTCTGAAAACAACAAAAAAAAAAAGTTGTGTAAAGCAGAAAGTCAAATTTCACTAAGACTTAAAGAAATATTTTTATTAGAAAAACCTTGATTTTTTCTACAACAGACAATCTGCTGAGAGAAGCACTGAAACAAACATGTGATGCAGAAATATAAAAACCTTTGAACAAATAAATTTACAGTGATATGCAATAGTTGCAGGCAAGTGTGAAGGAAAGAAACTAAAACTGACTGACTAACTAAAACAACTCCATTACATTAAAGAACAATATCTTATTTCTTTCACTCCTCTCTTTAAATGTCATCACAGCAAATGACTTGTTTCCATTTTGTTATCAAAATGCTGTTGCTAGAATTGATTGTTTTTCTTGTAACTTTACCAGTACTACTTTTTGCTTTAAAGTACTACTTATTTGCTTTTTTACTAGCATTATGCAGCAGGTGACTGAAAAAAATAATAATTTAAATAATGCATCAAGTTAAATTATTCAAAGTTGAATAAGAAGCACGTAGCATTTTAAAGCCACCACTTTACAATTTTAACATGAACACTTGGTTCTTCATTAAATTTTTCTGTTATTTATGTCATTGTTTATCATTTTGTGGTAGAAGTGGTGGCTTTTTAATTACCAAAAGGTCAAAACTTTTAGGTGACAGTAACACTGCAGTGTTCTTCATCTCCTAACTTGATAGAAATGACTAAATGAAGAACCTCCAACAAAAGTTGCATATAGGTTTATCTTATAAATTGTCCAACAGCGCCATCTTGTGAACATATTAAGAACTGCATGCAGTGTATCCTGATGCATGCTCATCAGCTCATCAGCATGCATGCTCATACACTACTTGCATGCAGTGTACTTTCTCCATCTTAATTTTGAAGATTTGTAAATCAATGAGCAGCCATGGAATTGTGTGTTCACTCACCATTGCTTCTTGTTTCTCTAAAGCAGAGAGAAGGACTTGTATTCCTCTGGTGTAGTAGTCCACAGCCTCCTGGCCAGTGTGGATTTGTCCCAGGTACATGTACTTACTGTGACCAACATCTGGACTCAACTCCACAGCTCGAAGAAAAACTTGGGACTCGGTAAAGGAAGACACAGCTTTACAGAAAATACACAAGCATTGTTTTGGTGACATTCACACAAAATAAAGAATAACATGTACAAAGGATATTTCTTTAGCTTTCTGTGTGTTTCCTAATTCAGAGGAGATGTGTCCCAGCATGTCAAGGGCTTGCAGGTTGTTGGCGTCAATGTCCAAGGCTCGCTGACAGAACAGGCTAGCCATGTCAAAATCAAAACTGTCAGTGCATTCCTGTGTCTGAAAAAACACATGTGTAAAGTAAATGATCAGAAGGAATTTGTGGTATTGTTCTAGCTGTGGGAATCTTTACAATATAACCTTCTCCAGGAGTTGCTGTACTGAGTACTTTTCAGCAGATTTCTTCTTGGCTTTCTCGTGCATTCTTAATTTCATCTTGTCCTGGGGGGACAAAACAACGAATCCTCCATCTGCTAAGATGACAAGTGTTCATAAAACAGATCAGCATCATTTGGTATCAGACAACTCAAAGCATGCTGATTCAGATTTAACGAATATCAGTCTAAAGCTTGTGTTTTGTGAAAATTGCTAACATTTTCGAAACACTAACCTCTGTTTTGACGGTTGTCTTTCTTTTTGGGTTTATTTTTCTTCTTGTTCTTAGCCTGACCTCCCATACTAATAAAATACCTGTCTTATTTTACTTCTAAAAAAACGTCTGCTTTTAAAAATAATACTTTTATCGAAGCGTGAGATCAATACAAGCGTGGTAGCAACATATATGATGATGTGCAGTACGCATGCGTTAAGGACTGACGTGAACACAATACGGAAAGCAGCAGTGGACAAAACAGAGAACGGTCTCGAAAATGAAACAGAAATTTTACATTTTTAATATATTTAATTGTGAAGAAATGTCATTTAAATACGTACTATGATGATAAAATAATCTTGAAGTTTTTAAGTATAAATTTTATTGACGACTGTATTGTTTTTTTTCAAAAGGCGCTTTGAAATGAATTAACCCAGCGGAAAGCTCATTTTGATTGACAAGTTTTTAAGCCAATAAGAGAACGCGTCTGAGATGTGACCGTTGACGCATCTGGAACTTTCTGGATTTCAACCAATGGCGGGATACGTCGATTTCACGTTCGCTCCTTTTTTTTTTTTTTTTTTTTTTTACAATTTATTGTAAATAAACGAATGACAGGGACGCGGCTGGCGGTGAAATCGCTCGTGAAAATATACTTTTTACAAATTTACGAATACTTCAATTGGATTTAAGGTAATTAGGATCTATTTAGATCAAATTAATGACGAACTGCACATCCCTTTTAGCAAATATAGGCACCTTTGCAGATGTCGAAGTAATTGAATGACAAAGCAATGTAGCTGCAAGTAATGCTAATGCGCTTGGTGCTGCCCAAGCCAGCTCAGCGGTGAATTTTTGTATTTGCAGAGTTATTTCTAACATGGGAATCACGCTGTTGAATTAATAACCATTCTCTAAATTTCTGTCCTTTGTGTCAATGTTTTGTCATTCGCTGTTATTAAACGTTAACTTAGCCGTTAAGGTAACGTTAGCTTTTAGCTAGTTTGCAGACCGAGCGCGTGTACATCATCACTGTGTATTGTAATTTTATTTTTATATAAACGATTCCACAGTAACCTTAGTTATGCAGCTGTTTTTACTGTGCTCAATGTTTTTTCTCCCAGAAACTGATATATGTTTATTGTATGTTTCTGTTCTATCTATTGAAAGGATAAGATTTGCTGCCTCTGGAGTCAAATAGGGCACTGGTAGCTTGTGGCCAATGCCACAGGCACAAGAGAGAAGAGAAGTGGACTTTCAACTTTAAGAGGAGCTGCAAGTTGGCCTCAGCTTTTCTGTTGGACCATAAGGGAGTGTCTGAGGACTTGGAAACACTGAAGATAAGAAAAAATGTTAGAGTTAAATAAAGAGGTGATCGATTTGGTTTGGGGGAGACCAACTGGTGGAAGTGTTTCCACCTCCATCTTTCGGAGATGGACCCAAGGTACAACTGTATTGTTTTTCAGATATTAACCAGTCTCATTGTTTTGTTTTAAAGATTACCAAACACCTGACTTTAAACATGGATATTTATCAATCATGGATCATATTCAGATTTGAGTCTATGCTTTACGTTTGTAGTTCTTCTTTCTAGCTGACAAAGAATCAGTTTTGTTGTATGTTCTTAACATAAATTCTGCACGGAATCATTCCTGCTCCTGCCTAAGATTGAATATTTAGTTGTGGTTTGGTTTGTGGTACCTAATCATTTTTCATTGACCAGTCATGTTTTTATTTTTGTGGTCAGCATGAATGAAAAGTAAGCTCTTTGTTGAAACAAATTATGTCTGAATTTTTCAAAGGGTTTGTTTTTAGTGAGTATGAGAAAACAGCACTGGAGCAGTTTGAAGGAGGGCCATGTGCTGTAATTGCACCTGTCCAGGTATGAGCTACTTAAACCTCCTTTTATTATCCTGTATCCTCCTGTATTATTATCGCAGCATCATTATGTTTGGGCTTTTTTTCTCAGTGCATCAGTTTAAACATTTGGTTGATATTTACATGCCTAAGATAAAATCAAAATCTTCAAATATTTGATGACTGCCTAATTTAATAGTTAATAAGATTGAAATATTTTGTAGTTTTAATATTTTTGCACATGTGGAGTTTGACTTTGGTTTTCTTTTTAGGCTTTCCTCTTGAAGAACTTTCTTTTTAACCGAGAAACTATTAACTGGAGGCAAATGTCAGGTAGATTACCTAAACAAGCATTCAAGTTGTTGATTTTGCTGTTGTCTTTATACTGCAGGCATGTTTCCTGACAAATAACGCTTGTTATATATATATATATATATATTTGCATTTGTTAGAAGAGGAGCAGAAAACGGCTCTGTGTTCAACACTGAGCGAAATCCTTGAGTCTGCATGTGCCAGCCCTTCCACAGGGTTCTGCCTGGTGACCTGGGCCAAGGGACAAAGCCCAGACACAAGCACACTCACCAAGACACAGTCGCAAACACAGGACGAGCCTGAGAGCAGCCAGACGCATCACGACCCACAACCCAGTTAGTTCAATGTCTGTCATTTTGCATTCATGATAATATACGGGTTATATCTATGTACATTAATTCACTGAAGCTTTATTTGTACAACTATGTAAAGGTTAAAAATAAAAATGGAAAAGGCTGACTTTTAAACAGTTTGAAGTTATGCTTTAATAATTAAATGTTTGTATGCTTTCTGTTTGTCAGCCGCTTTGGCTGCTGAGGACCTTGGCTTTGAGTATTTTCACAGTATACTCCAGTAAGTGGCACAGAATATTCTAACAAATTATATTTTGCAGTGTGTTATTGTTCTCACAATGTCCGATCTTGACAGTAAGCAAGTAAAACCTGACAAATCTAGGTTAAGTAATTGCCAAGTGCTGCATTTGTATAGACAACTGCATATTTCTCAGCTCTTATAAGCTGAAGAGGGTGTGTAGATTTGTCTTGGACTTCATATTGTACTGGCTTGTTCATGCTGCTCACAATTTACCAAATCAGCACTTTTATTGTTTGCCTTAGAGGAAAAAAAACCCACCCACTATACTTCTTGTCATCAAAGACACGTTTAATTTATGCTGGACTCGGTTTGCTGGAGGAATATTGAAATTTCATCACACAGCTCGCTGGCAGCTGAGACCACAGTCAGCAGAATGTAAACCTGGCTCTCTGTGAAGAGGTGCATTTTAACTAAGGCCGACAGCTTCACCAGCATTTACTTTTAAGGTGTAGAATAGAAAGGAATTAGCTCTTAAGAAAACGAACCTGCTTTTTTACTCCCATGTCTTGCATTTAATTTGTTTTGGATTTTTTTTTTTAAAGGCATCAAATCATAGCAAACACAATTATTACTTTATTTATAGGCTTCCATCTCCTTAATCCTGATGAAATCTGACTTGAGACTGTTTCTTGAATCATCTTGATCTTGTTTTCTTTGTTCTACAGCAAGCGAACAGTCCTGTCAGTCTGTGATCTAAGAGAAGAGGTGCTGTCTCTCTACCACTCCTGGAGGGGGTGCTGTGGCGTCTTGCTTTTTCTTTATTCGGTCATCCTCACCAAGGTAAAGAAATTAAAGTGTTCAAGAAAAAGCACGGATAGTTATTTTAAATGCTTACTAGAAATAATAGCATTTATGACTGCTGTATTTATGAAGTAGTTTAAATATTTCCTGTATGTTTTTAAAAAATCTAGTTTTATGGACAATGAAATACTATTTGAACATTTTAATTACCAGTAGATTTAAGTTTTATCTAGGTGGTGTGTTAATGCCTACATTAGCAACAAATTAAATACAGATTTTATCATTTGGTCTTTTCTTTTCAGGGCATAGAGAATATTAGAAATGAGATCCAAGACCCAACAGAGCCTCTCATAGACCCTGTTCATGGCCATGGAAGGTATAAAAATCCCTCTGACTTTTTCTGGATTAATTGGAAAGTGAAATATTGCACTTTCCTGATATGATTAATTTCCATGGTGAAAATATTCTATATGTGTGGATTATTCTTTTACCTTCACTGGAGACTGTTTGTACTCTGTCTGTTACAGTCAAAGCCTGGTGAACCTTCTAGTAACTGGCCATGCTGTTTCTAACGTATGGGATGGAGACAGGGAATGCTCTGGCATGAGTAAGAGTTGAAACTGCAACGATCAAACATGAAATTGCTTCATGCACATGCTTTGACTCAGCAAATTCAAATCAGATTTGCAGAATTTTTTCGTGGTCCCAGATTTAAACCATTTCCTTTGAGGGCAATAAATTTTAAATTCCTCCACATTGCACAGAAATAATTCTTTCCAGTCTGAAAACAAAACCAAAAAAAACCCTTATTTATAACATTTTTATATTTCTGTTTTATTTCTCATAGAACTACATGGAATTCATAAACAAGCATCAGTTGGCTTCCTCACGCTGATGGAGTCACTGCGCTACTGCAAGGTATGAACAGCCGCACCGTAGGTTCACAGAACATCAGTAAGAAGTAAAGCAAGCTACCCAATATTGATTTTGTTTTCAAAATAAAAGCATAGGTTTGATTTAAATAAACAGCCATTACGTAAACTGAGATTCTATCTAAATGCAAAGTTGCTTACTTTTACTTTAAACCTTGAGAGTTTTTCAAAATGTCTAACAAAAAATAGAATATGTGTGAAAAGGAACTAAATGCCCCACTATCAGTATATGTTTTCTGACTTGTCTATCTGCTGTACTTAAACAGACGTTTGTTAAAAGTAAGTCAAACACAAGAAATATATTTAAAAAAAATATTACGTAGCATTCTTGCTCATCTTAAGTCTTGAGAATCTTGATTACTTTTTTAACAGTTAAATATTAATAAGACAAAAAAAAAGACACATGTTCAAAGAAAAAGTAAACTAAAGACGAATCAATCAACTAAAAAGTGGAAAAATTTAAAAATAAATGCCATGTAAAATGTTTGGATGGCTCTTAATACTTGTGTAGTAGACCTGTTAACAAAAAAAAATCAAGTATAATTTATAAATGTGTTTTAATGTAAGGTTTATACTGTTTTTAAGAGCTCAGAACAGCAGTTTGCCATTTCTTTGTGCAAAAGACACATTAGATTAGAAGCAATTACTAATTCATAATAATATTTGCTAAAAATAGACCCTCATTTGTTACATGTTCCTTTTTCTGTCTCCGTGCATGTTTGTCTCAGGTTGGAACATTCCTCAAGTCTCCAAAGTTCCCTATTTGGATTCTTGGCAGTGAAACTCATCTTTCTGTATTTTTCACTCAGGCAAGTTCACACTCATCCATAAGGGAGCCAACACATATTTCACACGCCAACACACCGTGTGTAACACAAGCCAGTCTTCTCAGCAGGTTAGAAAAACCAAAATAAGGAATATGTTTAAAAGATTTAATATATTGTAGATTGATATCAGTAGTGGTAAAAAGAAAAGCCGAGAGGGAAAGAGGGGAATATGAGTGCAGGAGATTGTCATAAAAGGCCCGTGCTGTTCTTGGCCTTCCACCTATCAAATATTAATCTAAAATAAAAGCTGACTTTCCAAAGATAAATCCAACAAACACAGACTCACCATCTTTTTTTCCCTCTTCTCTCAACACAAACTCACACAGTTGGGTTGTTCAGTCATGACCTAAACGATGTGATCATAATCTGTTCTGCTCAATTTAGACTTACGTGAGAGACTTCACATCTCTCTTCACTGTCAGGTGTTTTTTTTTTTAACTGTCAGGTCATGTTATAGCATGTTTTAAGCATTGTAATTATTTTTAAATAAGATTTTTCCCACAAACTAATTCAGTTTGTCTTGACATGCTATGTAAAAAAAAAAGGGGGGGGGGATGTTAAGTGACTGGTTTAATTAAGTACAAGACATGCTTAGAAATTCATATTATGAAAATGTATATTTTTTTTTTTTACCATTTACGTAATCAAACATAGCAAACAAAGGTCTACTTGTTAAAAACAGTACATTTTTACAATTTTAAGGATCGCTGGATATTAGTGAGTATTTTTAAAATGTTCAAGCTTAAGCTACAAGATATATGCATCACTGTACTACTGAGGTTTTCGATCTTCTGCGCTTAAAAAAATAATAATTTGATAGATTACTGCGTCGTGTGTGTTTACGTATGTGAAAGTTCTCATCAGTGAATATGTAACATCACATACGGACAAATTAACATCAGCAGTTTCCAATCAATCCTTCCTGCTTGGATGGAAATGGTATGAATCAAGAAAAAAACCGAGACATTCATCTCCATCATAACGCCACACCCTTGATACAGCATTGATTAAAAGCTCGCTTACATGAATAAAGCTTCTTCCTGCTGGGTGAGTATATCATGTTCGCTCGGCCATGAACCAAAGTCGTTGCGTATGCGCTAATGACTTGGCGATTGTAACAACTCCCCCACAGCTAGCGACATGTCTTCACATACATTGCAGGGAAGAAGAAACCTAATCCTGATTAGCATTAATGTGCTGCTCATGTGTGTATGTGTGACTTCAGGTGGATGGCTTACAATAAGGAATGTGATTCCAAAGTTTTCATCTGGATCCATTTGTTCCACTGCAGAGCAGGAACACGCTCGCTCATGCATGCACGCTGACGTACACGGCTGACTCTGCACTGAGCTCGTAGTAATTTGCTTCGCAATCTGACATCCAAGTTGAAGGGGGAAGTGATGCAAGGTTACTGCAAGGTTACTTTGCCAGTAAACCTGACAAAGTTTGACACTCTCTTTTTTTTTTTAGAGCAAATTAGTTTGAACCTAATTTAAAGCACATTTCTTTAGGCTTTGTGATACAAAAATATACACAACTTGGTTATGTTGCTTTCAGCTTTCCTAAAGAGCCATTCCCACACATGGAGGAAACTTGATCCCTGCCTCTGATGTGACAGTGGCTCCTTCTTTCAGCCACAGGGGACACCTGTTTGTCTGTCAGAATGTGACTTTGGCTTTTAGACCATCAGCTTAATAGCGTTTTTGCGTTTTAGCTAATCCATTTGCACAAAAGCCATTTTGCCATTTCAGTTCTCTTTCCATAACACCCCCTGCCTCCCCCAGCGCTCTGTCTTCTGTATAAAGGTATGTACCCCTGTGAGAAGGAGCTGAGAGCATATAATGGCACGTAATTGTATCTGTTTTGGGGCAAAAGTTTCTGAAGTACAAGAAGAACAAAGGGAAAAAATGCACACAAAGGTTTAAGAAAAGAAGAAGGTTGTTTTATTTGGGATATTTCCAGTTTACAGTAGGCAGGTTGCCCCACTGAACGATTCTCCTGCACATCTTGGTCTACCTCTTTACATTATTGGTCCCTTGTGGTAAGAAAACAGAAGAAAAGGAAGTCGAAAGGAAGGATGCACTTTAAAGAGCACTACAGCGGTCACTCAGGGATGAGATTTGGAGGATGGAGATCCTCCTGTGACATTTCTCTCTGCCCTCTCTGAGTGATGAGGTTCACAGGCTGTATTGGAGCTTCACCAGAGGGCTTTGTGCACTTCTACGTGTGCATGTATACAGTAGTTGTGTTCTGGGTCAGTGATTTACTGGGAGAGGGCAGCCGCTGTGGCGCTTCGTGTCTCCTAAGACCTCAGCTTCTGTTAGCACATGCACACAAGATGTCCTTCAAGGGCTCCTAAAGAGCAAGAAATTGTGCACTGACACGGTTAATTCAGTGGAGCCATGTTGACATAAATAAAGTCAACTTTAAGGGTTACCATAACTGGAAAGCGTAGTAAATTATTTAACATTGTAATGTAATTCATTTCTCTTCTCTAGAGAGGGCTCTTCATTCTGCAGCCTTCTACAGTCTGTGGAAGATCGCTGTAAATCATGACAATGGTGCAGCTTTTGTTTGGAAAACGTACAACTATAAAACAGTCACATGTTACAAGTAATAACCAAGCAAATTCCTTTTCACAAAACAACCAAATCTTCAAAATTTAAATATTAGGAGTAATTTCTGGACTTTTCTTAACTTTTTTAAATGCATAAAAGAACTAGATACAGGTCAGGGGTTCTTGAACTCCTTACAGGGGAGGAAAAGTTTCAGGAACCCCCTCATAACCCTCATATTTATTAAATAATTTTCTTCAAGTTGTCTCTTTAATGCAATGGAAATATTTGTGTAACAAATACTTAAGACCTGTTTCTTTAATAGTGTTAATACAATTTTTATACTTTTAAACATGGGGTATTTTTCAGTCAAGACACATTTAACATTTTTAATTTCAACTTCCAAAAATTACAGTTTTGAGAAAATTAGCAGTATCAGAAACCACTTTAAAACTTTACCTATTCACATAATGAACATAATAAATGTATTGTCACTTATTCTTAATTATTACAGAAAACTTTTTTTTTTTACATAAAACTGAATAGAATCATAACAGCAGTAGTCATACCAAGTCACAGGGCTTAATTTATAAACCGATTGATGCCGGAGTGCAAATAGTGTGTGTGTGTGTGGGGGGGGGGGGGTCGGGGGGTCCTCCCCCAGAAAATTTTGATTAAAGTAGATGTAATTTCCTGCATTTTGGTGGGTTTTTTTAACACATTGTAAAACATCTTCGTGCTTGTTAAGACTGGACTTTTAAGACTTTCCTTTTTGATAAATCCTATAGTTAGGGTCGGCTTGTTATGCTGCCATAGGCTTAGACTACTGAAGGACAAATTGACCTCATATCTTAAAATGAATTGTTACAAATGAATAGTTTGCATTTGAAATTATTTCTATCTTAACATTTGATTCTGGACCTGCCATTGTGTATCTGTTCCTCCTCCTTGTTCCTCTCAAACCCAGCTGGTCGAAACAGATGGACGCTTGTCTTGAGCCTGGTTCTGCTAAAGGTTTCTTCCTCATGAGGGAGTTTTTCCTTTCCACCGTTGCCTTTTATCAAGATGAGAGTTCTGTGATGGAGGTAAACTCCGAGCAGTCTGCTCCTCAGATAAATAATGTTATTAACTTACTTTTTAAGTACATGAATGTTTCTGCTCAGTGCCCTGATGTAACTTGGCGCTATATAAATAAACTGAAATGAATTGAATTGTAAAAAATATATATATTTATTTATTTTTGTGTGTATGTGTGTGTGTGCCCCCAAGCACCGGCTCACAGACCCTTGGGGGTTCGGGGACCCCATTTTGAGAACCACTGCTGTAGGTTATTTCCTTATACGTCCTGATACATAATTTCAGTTTCCAGAAAAAGAAGGAACAGGCCAAGGAAATCGGTAAAACCTTTATAAGAGAATCTACAGAAAGTTTTAAGGATATTTTTTTGTCTTCTGAGCAGGATTACTTACTGCTTTTCATTTGATCAGTGGGTGCGGGCCACATGTAAACACAATTCAACAAAGCGCGGTGTACATTAACACTCATTAATAATCTGTGACAGGTCAGACCAAAGGTCATTGTAGAAGGATGAAAGCCTGTCGTCGTCAGCGTGCACGCGCTGCATTATTTTACATTTTCGCCTGGGTGATTATCAGTGTTATAAGACCCATCATTGTGCTACATTACTACTCTCTGGTGTCTCATCTCTTTTAAGAGAGACGGCACTTTTGGTCATCCAAGACAGCCTCATAAATCACTGCATTGTCCGACCTGTCACACCTGAAGCTCATATGCTTATATAGAAACTGCACTCTCATTATGTTGCAAGAAAAGAAGCTTTCCACATTTTGTCATTCTGATCTCTTGGGAAACAAACAACCTAAGGTGAACTTAACCACATTCAAAAGTACAAGCAGTCTACACGAGAAGCCTTCACATAGACGGCACTTTCCCCATTCTGTTATGTCATGTAGTGAGCTTATCTGTACCTGCTGTGAACAAGACAAGAGGCACCATCCAAGACCTCTTCTTTGTTGTTTGGAAACCGAGCTCTCTAACATACTCTGTGACCACTCTTAGCCTCTCAACGCACACAATAGCTCTTTAGGTGGACAGGAGGAAAAGAACGTAATTCTAGTAAAGCACTACCTGCTTTACCTGAAGTAGCTACCTCGATGTAGAGATAAAGGTTGAAAGGAGGAAAGGAGAATGAGCAAAAAAAGAAGGGAGGGTAGGGAGGAAGCACTACGAAAGTAGAGTACCTACTTAGCACAGTAAAGGGTGAATAAAAAGGGGCAAGTGCGAGAATGACTACCAGAAAAGCTTATTTTCTTTTAATTCAGTAATTATGAGGCAGGAAGTACAAACTGATAATAAAACAGGAAGCTGACACTCAAACTATAATGTA